CTAGCGCTCACGCTTTCTTGCGTAGAAGCAAGGTAAACGTGAGCGGCAGGAGTACGTGCGAGAGATGCGCAAGTTTGGTGGAATATCTGGCAGGGAATCCTGTGCCGGAAGACATCGGGACAACAGTCTTCATGGATGGCCTGAAGGTCGGCCCTGCTGGCACCCAGCTATTCCGGGTGCAAGCGACAACTACGGAGGAGGCGATTCGAATCGCTTTCCAAGAAGAGTACAGCTACAAGCAAGCTGGTACCCCTCGGGGAGAGGAACGTCGTCACGATTAGGATGACGTTTCCCAGGAGGCGGGCATCGCAGCAATGACGATGTTGATCCTGCTGGGATGCGGGCCGTTGATACCGATGCGTACAGCGAGCCCGACCCACGGACTTGAGCTCCGTTGAGAGCTTGGGTCGCTGCTACGGACGCGGCAGACATGGACACTGCCAGCGTGTATGTCCCTCGCCAGTCCTCGAGAAGAAGACAGCCTGTGGACCCCATGTCCAGTGGCGCAGACCACGGTCAGGTGGACGAAGGCTCCACTGACATCAGTAGAGGCGGTATGCCCTACTGAAGTTTGTGCTGCTCATCCCTGGCTTCGAGATTAAATCCACGTCGGACCCAGAGAGATGTGGTTCTTTCAAACCGGTGAAGTGCAGTGGTGGGCTGCTGGTATTACACACGGTGTACGGGGGTACGGTACCCCTTGAATGCTTGATAAGTTCTAGGGCGTTGATACGCCTCCGGAACGTCTCTTTGGCATACCGACACCCGACTGCACTCTACGTCAGCGTGGCGGTCGTGGGATGGTCCTTGGTGGACTAGCCTTTGGTACGGTGGAGGAAGTACCAATGGTCCTCAACGGCCTGAACGTTTGGGCTCGATGAACTCGTGCACCGTGGTGTCGCTCGCAGCTCTCGCCATGAACAACATGGCTGTACCGAACATAAGGCACAGCCCGGACTTTGGTGTGGCAAAGCTGGGAAGGGCCTGCCAGTCCAGGTCTATGGCAGATCATTGGTGAGTCATGTTCCCACCTCCGTCATGCCTTGGGCGTCTGTTACAGACCACCAGGGCGCAGAAACGTCACGGAGTTGTCGACGCACCGACAGCTCTACGTACAGCAAGGTCATGCCCCGCTGCGGCAGTACCACGGGCATGGGTCGTTTGCCCGGCGTATGGACCTGCTACACCAGCAGCGTCCAACGCCGAAGGTCGTCGCGGCGCACGATCTTCAACAGTGCTTATGCCTATTAGCGCTAGCCAGGTGGGTAACTAAGGTCCACACGGTCGCCCAGACCTTAACTGAAGAGGGCCATGGCAACGACAATTGCCATCCGGGGTTAAGGGTATTTGACAAACTAGTAATCTAGAGTAATAATATTACTAATGCTATTTGAGTATTAGTGCTATTAATACCGTATAGTGTGGTATTCACTATTAGTATTAGTATTACTCAGGTGAGGCGATACTATAGTGCTCTGAACAGTACTATTTTACCAGAAACCCAGTGAGCAAGCAACTGCCCCTCATTGAGCACTCATCGAACCTGTGGCTGTCCTGCGTCGTTTGCCATTTCAGAAAAGAACTGGATACCGCCATTGCGATCGACCAGGATTCGACGGCTGAAGATGCCTTGTGCAGTTCATGGCTGTGTGGAAGGTCCTGAGCTCAAGACAGACCCTTGCACCGTATGCGGAAAGCCCACTCACCACCTGTGTGCAATCGGGGTATTTGAAGGAGACACGTCGTCGTTGAATGAAAGGTAATTTGCTCATTGTTGTGTCTTATTTCCACGTCTAACCCTCTTCTCTGTTGATACGCAGATTCTGCTATCAACCATGTGTAGAGAAGATTTACCCGACCGCTAAGGACTCTACACCAGCCGTGACGACCTCTTCGACGGTCCCCGCCGCTACATCTTCTTCTGCGTCGAGGAATATCTGGGCTGGATCCGACTCCGATTTCGTGCCGTCTCCTGAAGTCGCCGTGGCATCGGATACTGCGGTTGTGCGTCCAGTGAAGCGTCGGAAGGTTGCGGCGAAAGGGAAAGTGGCCAAGGTGAAGGCCATTAAACCTCCTCTGGATGGTAACCTACGTAGTGTGCTGCCTCCTCCCCCGGCCTCTCCTGTTTCTGACTTAGGGGTCCCGCTTTCATTGACACACTCAAGGAAGGTTGGTACTACTGATTCTGTCTGGGACCTAATTCATGTATTGGATAAACCCTACAGAAAGCGAAATCCGTGGAAGCCTTCCACCCAAGTGTACCGCAACATTTGTCTGCTGTGCTGTGAGGAGATTAAGGCACGGAAGAATACCACGCCCTACAGCTGGGAGGATGCCTTACGCAGCACGAAGAATACGAGCAACGCCAAGGAGCATATCAAGTCGAGACATGCGGACCATCCTTTGGCGATTTTAGCAGAACAGACAACAGCTCAAAAGGCGAAAGACGATGTCATGAGTGCGGAAGATGACACCCGAGTCGTTTCAGACTTGACTTGTGGTGGTGAGAATGATGCTACTACTTCTGCGCCTATTACTACTGGTTCGTCTGCGGGGAATAAGTCTTTGGCGAAACGTTTCTTCAAGGCGGATGAGAAGACGCTACACGTGCTGATTTCGAAGTGGCTAATTACGCAAGGAATTCCTTTTCCGGCATGCAGGTCAGGCCCCTTCGAGGAGATGATGCGTGCGGCAACAGGCAATCCAACATTCCCTATGCTCAGTCGTGACAGGCACGACCGTTTGCTTCAAGGACAGTTCCAACTATTTTGCGATCTTGTCGGAGACCTCCTCACTTCTGAATTCGAAAAGGCGTGTCATCTTCAGTACCTGAATCTGATACATGACATCTGGACTAGCTGTGGAAAAGACAGTATCGTTGGTGCGTCCGTGGCATTTATTGATACATCGTGGAGATTTCGGTTCATCGCAATGCTAGCTACTGGCAAGAACGACGGACACAACGCTCCGCTTGTGGCTAAAGTGATCGAAAGTGGTTTTAAGGCGAAGTACGACATCGACATCCGTGCAATGACTCGCTTCACCATGTCCGACACGACGCCCTCAGGCGCAATGTGCGCTGACTATATTGACAGCGAGCAAGAAGATTGCTCGATGCATCTGCTGAACCTGTGTATCGGATATGGGATCGGATTGAAGGACAACATACAAACCAACAGTGTGTGGAATGCTGCCTGCCATTCATGGGATAAAGTAGTTACGATAGTTACACCGGGTGGATCTCTGGAGAAGGGTGGTGAAGTCATTCAGAAACTACGCAATCTGAACAACCACTTCCGGTCGCCGAAGCAGCGCAACGCGTTGAAGAAAATTCAAGAAGCTCTCTCGTACCCTGAGCTAGACCCCATGACCGACAAAGATGTTAGAGTCGCGTACACGTGCAAGCTGATAAGGCGGTCTGTGGTTAACCATGCGGCTTTTGAAGCTTATTTCCAGTCGACGAAGGAGTCTACTAGCGTGTGGTCAGCTTTGTCTGCAGACGACTGGGTACTGGCAACCGAGATGGAAGCGGTAACGCACTTTATCGCCAACTTGGCATTGGTTGAGGTGCAAAGCGAGAATCTAGTATCTTCATACATGGTAGTATTCCGGAGACTTGCCGAGAAGAAGCTGAAATCGTTCAAGTTTGACACTCTGGTTATTGAAGCCCCTCGAGCAAAGGATGGGAACGAGGCAAGTCATCGACGGGTAGTGAGAAAGCTTGACCAGTTCACAGAAGCTGGGAAAACGTGCCTGCGAAGGACTCTTCTACAACTGCAGTCATGGTTCCCAAAAGTGACGAGGGAGGCTATGGTGTGTATATTACTGGACCCTCGTACTAAGTCCAGCGCCAAGAAAATTGCTGCGGTTGGCAACGTCTCCCGCAAAGAGGAGAAAGCCACTTACAAAAATGGTCTGGAATTCCTTCGAGACGAGCATCGAAAAGTGTTTGCGCAGATGGCAAAGGTGGGCAAGATGCCATTATCGCAGACTTCATCGCAGAGCAGCCTACTCAGCCAGGACTTGAATTCCCCGCTCTCTTCTCCATCATCGACAGGCTGGGACGACGAAGACGAGCTCTTGCTCGGGGCACCTATTCGTACAAGTAAGACCAGGGAGGAGGTCAAGGAGTCGGAGTTAAATGCAAGAGCGGACAGTATCATGAACGAGTGGCTCGAGATGGAGCCTGAGTGGCTCGAGATTGCACAGATCCAAAACCCTGAGACCAAGAAGGAAGATCTGTCCTTTGCAATGACAACGGACAGTCGGACGGGTATGTGCTGGTCGCTGCTGGGGTTGTACCAACACGTAGACGTCCTGCAATGGTTTCGCGACGAAGGCGAGAGCCAATACCCTTCAATGGCGCTGCTTGCACGTATTCATCTCGGCAAGATCTCATCGTCGGCGTTTCAAGAGCGAGTGTTTTCTACGGGGGGAATAATTATGGGGCCGCTTCGTACCAGAACAGATAGCAGGCGATCGGAGAAGCAGCTACTACTGCGGCACAACAGGAACGAGATTGTGATGATGAAGCAAGACGCGCGCAAGTCGCGTGACTCTTCGAAAGCGGTAAAATAGTACTTTGACTATTAGTACTAATAGTACTAATATTAATACCGTGATGAGATTTCAATACTATTATTAGTATTACCGGGGGAAAAATGGCCTAGCCTTACCGGTAATAGTGCTACCGCCTTTTTGGCGGTACTATTAACCCCTGATTGCCATGTGCCATGCTACTTTTATCTTTATCAATGTAAGTTCTAGAAAAAGTTTGTATGATGGCACAATGGCAGGGCAATTCTATTCTTAACCACTGCTTAATGTCTAGTCATGGCACAGTGACACTATTTTGATAGGAATCAAAATTGCCACTTTGTGCCATTTTTTTACGATTTGCGATTTGTGAGCATGTTAGCTGCACCGTATTTTGCAGTAAATTTGATCCTCCTGTCACATATTTTACAAATTGCGCCTGATGATCCGCATTTTGACCAACAGCCATGGAAGAGGAGAAGCCTAAGGCACCGCCTGCCCACAAGGCGCTCGCGACTGGCCACAACCTCTCTCACCCCGATGCTCACGTGACGTGGGATGAGGAGACGATCGCGCTGCACAATCTGGACCGTGGCACACGCATGAAGATCGACGAGCCCAACACTCCCTATCATTACTATGCCGAGGGTGACGGCGTGGGCGCCGTGTCACCCGCTCGAAGCCTCTCAGGCCGCGAGGCGCAGCCTCCAATTCAGGTATCTACAGTATAAGAACGTAAAGAATAAGTGAAAAGTAGTTTCTTACGATTTTATTGTGTCAGTGGGAAGAGCTGCAGTCCAAGCTGCAAGGTGTCAAGGACAACAAAAAGAGTGAATGGGACAGCGACGAAGAAAGTTCGAGCTCTACTTCAGGAGCACAACAATTCGCCGCTCGGGACGCTGAGGGAAAGAAAATCCAAAAGGACCCGGACTTCTCCGAGAAGCGTAAGATGCACTACAATGAGTTCGAGAGGGTTCGAGCCTGGAAGATGCAACACGCAGACGAAGACGACGATGAAGACGAAGAGAAGAAACACACTCAGTAGACTCGTTAGACTCAGTAGAATGAGCTCGATCTACGAAGTATTTTTAATCTTTCTTTTTTCTCTTGCCGTATGTAGAGGATGTGTAGGCAACAGGGTGGATAGATAAGTACAAACTTAAGTAGAATGGTTAACCTTTTTTAATGGAGAAAGAGCGTCGCGTCTACTGTGGATTGTTCAGGTTTCGGTTGTCAGCCATCTCTGCTAAAGTCGCGATATTAACGAGTTAGAAGTGGCTGCCGAACTTGGTTCGACCAGACATGGAGCACTTAGGAGCCGTGCGATATGTGGACTCGACCTGAGTGCCAACAGAGCTCCTGGGGTCGTAGTACTTGGATCCAATTCTGTCGGCAGCAGATCGACTTGTCCTACTACGCGCCTCAGTACCGAAGGAGAACGCTGCAGCCGAATGAACCGTCGAGACGGTCTGACGACCCACAGCCTCGACGACGACGCCGTATTGGCCAGGACCAACGTCTGCAGTGCTAGATGCGTTCAGCGGCTTTCGCTCTACCTTGGGGAATGACGACACCGGGTTCGACTTCTGCGTCGAAAGAACTGTGCGTCCAATTGTAGGACTCGACTCATAAGCGCCTGGACCCGGGAATTTCTTGTCACCTGCCATCGGAGACCACTTCTTGCCAAGCGAATAGCTTGGAGCTGCTCGCTCACGTGGGTTCACGATGTGTGTGTTGTAGTCACCAGGTCCTGGAAATTTAGCAGAGGTCTTGAGGTCGGCGGTCGAGCCAAACTTTTCACGGCCACTGATGGAGCATGAGGGGGCCATGGCCATCGTGGACAGCACTGGCTTGCCAATGGACGAAGGAATCTGGTACGCACCGGGGCCTGGAGATTTGGATCCATTGTGCGTACGTGGACGTGTGCCACTGCCGAAGACTGTGTATGGAGCTGTGGTTTTGCGCGAGTCCACTTGTTCACCGACCGAAGATTTGATGTCCGTGAACGCTTGATGCGTCGGACTACTTGGGAACCTACCGGGAGAGGTTGTTGCGCGAGGAGGTGACGACGCCATGATTGTTCTCTAGCTGTAGTGGGCAGAGGAAAGCAGCACGCTCTAATGGTACGCAGTGACGGCGACCGACCCCTTTTGGCCTACACTGAGCACTTGTTGCTGTTGTTTCTCACGAAGCAGGTTGGAGTTTGATGGACAACTGGGTGTGCCAATTATGGAGTGCCAATGAATACTCTTACATCTTGAGTCGCTTCAAATAGATGGAGCCAATAGAGGCGAGGGAATAGCACGAGGTGACAGGTAAGATCACAAGGAGGGACATTAAAAGAGGCTTCGCTGTTTAGGCTATTTTATTAATAGTCATTGCAATGCGAGCGCAAGGGGCATTGCCAGAAATAGTCCACAAAGGTGGTGCTGTTTGTGGAAGCGCTCAGCCATCGCGTTGGGCTGTACTGTGCTCTCGAAGCGATATATCCTAGCCGAAGTGTGCTTTCGTACTGGTATCGTAGCAACTCACTGGTGGGAAATCAAAGGAGACATAACCACCGGAATGAGGAGTGCTGACGTATGCGATAATCATTTCAAAAGGATTTCAAAAGGAATGATGGTCTCGCGAACGCAAACATGACGATCACTTGAACGCCCCGCGACCAATGCCGATGATGGAGTACACGCCAATGCCACTTCTTTTACTGCGGGACACAACATATCTACCTGTATAGCAATGTAACCATTGAGCTCTGTTCGAATACCATTGTCGTTGTGCAGCGATTTACCTGTAAGGTAACAGCGCTCCACTTGGAAACGTCATATCAGTTGGTTAGGAATGTTTCTAAAATAACCTGATTTTACCGCAGCTTGACTGCTGTAACACAACTTGTGTTGTACTACTTCTTTTAAAGGAGTATCTGCCCACCTTAGTTACTAAAGTAAACCTTAGCACCGAAATTCGATGTCGGCAACACGGTCTTCACGGTAATTGGCTCGAAGGAGCACGCTTAGCGTGTGGCGAGTGCGGATCGGATCGGCAAAGCCCACGCGCGACCATTACCATTATACCTGGAATACGTGAAGCAGCATCAAAAACTTTAATTTGAAAGCTCCCGTTTCGATAGATCGGTACTGCACTGGCCTCCACTCGCAATGCTATGTGGCCGCTGCTTGTATGAATAAGCATTAAGACGTACTGAAATGAAAACTACATGCACAGCGACGATATAGGATTTATAGTCGCTGTACTGTACACTATAGAATAGGTCCGCCCTTTGCATCTCTGGACGACCGACTTAACCGATGACTGATTGATTCGCCCGAGTATGAATACATTGGTGCGGCATGATTGACGAAGGAAGCGGCCCTGTGCTATTTACTTGAACACCATTCACGCTGACCACGCATAACGACGTTCATTTTTTCTGGCCATCCACGAGTTCGCAAAGCTACATGTATTCAGGTAGAATTGCTGAATTTTAGCCCGGCGTCTCGCCTCCACGCAGCAGCCCCGCATCCACTGGTCTCATCACTTGCTTGCCCGGGCCATGCACTTTTTACTGTCCTTTTTGCATTTCTAAGACGTTTCTAAAGAAACGCACCGCTCACCTGACAGCGGATCTCACAAACGAATCCGCCTTCAAGAGCTCACGTTCGGAGTTGGCGTCGACCAGTCAAATTCATTCTCCCACATACACACACAGGGTCATGAGCTCCAACGGCAGCAACACGGCCAACAGCACGACCGGGATCTTAAGCAACGGTAAGAATGACTACGGCAGCACGAGCTACAACCAAGTGATGGTGGACGTCAAGGACGCCTACAGTCAAGGTAACGCCGAGAAGTCGCGGCTGCTCCACCAGCTAAAGACTGACATGGGAAGCCACACGCACGCTATGGAGAACCACATGACGGGCGGCAAACACATCAAGAGCGCTGTGTACGGTGGTCTGGACGGTATTATCACCACGTTCGCCACTGTCACCTCTGTGGCCGGCTCGGGACTGCCACACTCCGTTATCCTCATTATCGGCCTGGCCCACTTGGTGGCCGACGGCCTGAGTATGGGCCTCGGTGACATGCTCAGCTCCCAGGCTGAAGCCGATCTGGCCAACCACGAGCGCTCACGGGAGCAGTGGGAGTTCGAAAACTACCCTGAAGGCGAGATCGAGGAGATGGTGGAGCTGTACGAGAAGAAGGGCATCTCCACAGACGACGCGCTGCTGGTGGTGCACACGCTGGCCAAGTATAAGGAAGCTTTCATTGATATTATGATGGTAGAGGAGCTCAACATCATGCCGGTGGACGACGACTCGCCTTTGACGGGCGGCGTCATCACGTTCGTGTCCTTCATGTTGTTTGGCATCATTCCGCTGCTCTCGTACCTTGTGAACTTATTCCCGGGCATTAACATGAGTCCAGAGGCAACGCTGTATCTGTCCTGCTTTCTCACTGTCGTCACGCTGTTCCTATTGGGCGCTGTGAAGGGCAAATTCGTCGGCCAGGAGATGTGGAAGTCGGGTGGCTCCATGGCCATCAACGGTACTATTGCCGCTGCGTGCGGATGGGTCATTGGCTACTTGTTGCAGCTCACGGGTATCCAAAACATTGGATAAAAGCTGCATGGACACAAAGAACGTGACTGGGTACTTTGTAAACACCGACTTATGAAAAAATCACTTTTGGCATATGCTCGTTTAATGATATGACGAAATGTAATTACTCATAAACCTTCCACAAAGCCGGTCATAGCGCGGATAACATCCCAGCACGAGACTTGAAATTGAGCGCTGATCACAAACAGCACCGCGAAGACCATAAAGCTCATAGTAAAGAGCATCGTCCACGGAGCAATCGGCTTCAAACCTGCTGCAAAGGGCGAATCGAGGTCGAATAATGACGATCGTAGTGCCGAACTGAGGATCATGAAGTTGTGCAGACAGCCATTGTGGGAACTGACGCTCAAAATGCGGCCGTCCGGGGTCCATTGCAAATCTTCAAAGGTCAAGGAAGGCGCTTGCATTGAGCCACTGCCCGAACTACTCGGTCCGGAAAGATCCGCAAGCATTGACGACGACGTCGGGGGAGTTCCGGAAGTAGCGGAAGCTGGTGGTTCGCTGTCCAAATATTCCACAGCGATCTCCTTCCAATCGCTCATACGCACCACCTTGATGCAATTATCGCCACAGGTTGCCACTGTCCCATTGGCCTCGTTGTAGACTATCTCGCGGAGTGAATGTTCGTGGAACTTGGCACAGTATTGCTCTTGCCCAATTTCGTTTAAATGTGTGGAAATAATCACAACATATCCAGACGAAAAGCCCGCGATAATGTAGCCATTACCGAACCACTGGTACGACACGATATTGCCGTATCGCGCCTGGAAAGCTAACTCCAGAGCGTTCTCCCGCTCGTTCAGATCGTACAGTAATATCGTCTTCCCACCCATGTTCACTGATAGAATTGCATCTTTATCTTCGGTTTTACCACCAAACTATACATTAAAAAATGTTTAGCATCTAGTGCAATAAAAAAAAATTATAATAAAAATAAAAACACACCGTGACGCTCTGTGGCGATGCCTTAATCTTGACCTGATCAAAAGTCCGTCCGGAAGGCAAACAAATGGTGATCTGTCGATCCTCCGATCCAAACGCGAATTTGTCTTCAAGGTTCCAGTCTCCGCATAGAATCCGGCGTTTGTGCTTGCTCGCCACCTGCGTCTTGGTGCCTGTGGCGTGATCATAAATGTACACTTGACCTCGATTGGTACCAATAGCCAGCTTCAAAGCACCAAATACGGGTTAGATTACACTCGGTTCTATCTTGTTATATTTACTGTACCAGTAGGGAGTGTGGCGACTTGGACCACTTGATAAAGCTGATGTCCTTGCAGGGAAGGTCCACCAGCTGATGTTGTTGAATCTTCTTGGGCTCCCACAGAACGAGTGAAGCCGAGTTGGCCTGTACGATGGCCAGAATGTCTCCGTTCTCACTCCATTCGAGCAACGTACACATACTATAGAGAATAATACAGCACTACATTAGTAAAAAATCTGTTTCATTGGAACATATTTTCGCTTACCTTGGAGACGGCGGCACAATCTGGTCCACGAGCTTCCCGCGTCGACCGAATATGTGAGCGACGCGAGAGGTTCCTGAAGACGCAACATAGTCGCCGTGAGGGTCCCATGCGTACTTAACAGGCCCCACGCCGTGGTGGCGCGCGTCAACCGAGAAGATCATCAACATGACGCTTGTGTGTGTGAGCCTTAAAACGGCACAAAAAACCTCGTAAGAGTGACGTCAAAGAACCAACCAATCAGAAGTCAGCAAGTACGTCAGCAAGTTGCAGTGTAGGTCGAGGACGAGGTCTCAAATATAGGTTCCACGACCCTCACATCGACAACAAATCGTGTTGTTCGACACTCTACAGGAACTTGCAGCGGACCAGTTGTCGATAATTAATTCGTTTGGAATATGACTTCACAACAGCCAACCGAGCTGATACACGTGCCCCCGGCCACGCGGTCAACGAATCCCGTCTATGTCTACACTAAGTTTGTGGTTGCTTCAGCACGGGCGACGACGGCAGTCGCAGCCGCGATGATGGCCAATAGCAACTCGACAGGAGTTAGTGAACTCAAGGCTCTACACAACTCTGCCAATGCACTCACCTCCCCTCGTGAGAGAAATACCCCACGAGATAAAAGCCACGCGTACGCGAGTTTGGTGGATATCGTGCGCCCACGAACTGTCCCGGTGTTGTCCTCTCGCCAGGCATCGACTTCGCCCCGTAGTAGCACCGAGCAAAAGGACGGTAAACTTCCTCGAGTTCGGAAGCAGTCCCAGCTAGCGGAAGGTAACAGCACCAGTAGAGAGCAGGATAACCAGGACTCCAGACCACGTACGACGCCTGCGCCTACTGCAGCACCACTTACAGGAGATCGCGAAGTGTTCCCAGCATGGATTCGAGAGCGAAAGGATTTCCAAGTGTTCTTTCCTCGGTTTTCGGAGCATGTGATCACGGACGAGGAGATTCTACAACAAGGAGTTCCGAAGGAACCGACCGAAAGAAACATCGTGGAGCTGCAGTGCATCGCACGCTGGATCATGAAGATCCCATCCATGTCGACATTCTTGGACTTAAACCAGGCCACAGAGATCGCCAAGCTCGCAAAGTACCGTGCCTTCCATCCACAGGAATATGTTTTCCGCAAAGGCGATGTTGGCGATGCGTGTTATCTCGTTCTGAGTGGAGAGGTACACATTCTAATCGACGGCGAGAAGGTGGCGTCGGTGACAAAGAACTCTGCTTTTGGTGACATTGCACTTCAGCTCGAGAACGCAACACGCGGAGCCGATGTTCAGGCGGCGTCATCTAGTGCATTGATGTCCAATTCCCCGCTGTCAGCGATAGGATGTGAAGTGTTAATGATCATGGCAGAAGATTATCACAAAACGCTGGCAAGATGTCAGACTCGAAGACGGAAGCACCTCGTCAACTGGTTGCACACTGAGGTGACGCTGTTTCGGGATTGTGTAGAGAGTAAGCTTCACTTCTTCGAGCTCGTGTCGATCGACGTGCCATTGAAGAAAGGAGAGGTACTGTACACTCAAGGAGAATCGGTTGGGGCGTTCTACATTGTTCGTTCTGGTCGTGTAAGACTCGAGGTTGATATTCAATACGAACGTCGGCATCGGTGGCCATGTGATAAGCACAAGTGGAAGCAACAGGTTCACGCTGTTCGGTCACGCGTGCCGTTCCATACAGAGGAAAGCGCTGGCTTCTTCGGCTTTGAGATGTTCATTAAAGGCCAACAAACACGCGCTTACACAGCCGTGGCCGATTCTCCTACAGTCGAACTGATAGGATTGAACCGCGTCGACTGCTTCTCTCCCTACTTCTCTTTCACGCCACGAGCTCAAGATCGGATCCACGATAAAAACGATAAATGCCGTGATATGGCGCTACGAATGGTGCAGCAACAACTTCGAGCATTTCGCAAGTCGCAAAGCGCAGCAGCAACCAAGAACACGCCCACACACCCGCCAGTTGTTATCCAACGCAAATTCCCTCATTCAAGCGAGACTCCCGAATTTCAGTTCCCTCGACTACGACCCGCAAAGTGGAAAGCGGACAACGAAGTGGTTTCCGCGTTTCAACAAGCATGCCAATAACCAAGAAAAAAAGGAATGATTGTATTCAACGAAATCAATACAGAGTGATGGTCAATGCCAATGCTGTGATCGCAACAATCAGGTGAACTGACGCTTTTGGTGTCGACTGGGACGTCGTAGTGGAAATAGACTTATCCGAGCCGTCAGTAGGCGGTGCTGTCGTCGCTGTGGCTGTCGTGGCGCTGCTGGAATAAAACTTGAGGGCTCCAATCTCACACGAGTGACTTGTGATCGCCGCTTTTGTGACTTTCGTATTCTTGACAGCTGTGCCACTGCAACTTGTGCCTCGATAGGTGAGGAAAGTTGCCGATTCATCCGCATTGAGAGAAACCTTCATACTGGACACTCCGTTGTCGGCTACCAAGCAGCTTCCATCCGCCAGAAACGCTACACCAGAGAGAAGTTTCTTGCACTCTTGTCCCGATTCGTAGATCTCCATCAACACAAACGGTTTGTCCCCGTAAGCAGCAGCAGATTGGACATAGTAAGTGTCTGAGGCACACGCTCGATCCCAGTACAGTTTCTCTCCATCGATGTTGACACTAGAGCACGTGGTGATAGCTGAACACGACGGAGGTGGCGATTCCTGGAAGCCAATGATGGAAGGCCGCGACGTGCAACTGGAATCCGTATGCAGCTTGTAGACTGCAGACTCGCTGTGAACATACACAAGGAATGAAGCTACACTTACGGTCACAAGCTTCAAGAACGAGCTCATATCTGTCGTGGTTTAAACTCCAAACCGGAAGTGACGACTAGTTCGAGGGGTCAGCGACGTCTCGTGCAAAAGATCGGGCCACATTTTAAATGGCATTTCATATTTTTCCTTGTGTTGTGTACCTTTTGTGTGCTCTCCTACGCTCCAGACATAAGCTCATTTACCTTATCAGAGCGCTTACTCATACTCGAGAATGACTTCGTCCACCTTGAGGGAGTCGCCTGCAGTACGCACAATGCTTTTAATGACACCCCTCTTCTCGGAACGAAGCACGTTCTGCATCTTCATGGCCTCCACGACGGCCAGTTCTTGGCCGAGCTCCACGGACTGGCCGACCTCCACTGCCACGGAGATGAGCATTCCTGGCATCGGACATAGCAACAAGTTGGACGTGTCGACTTCTGGTTTCGGTTGCATGTGCTTGCCGTACGCCGCTTCCAGCTCATTGCGCACAACCACATCATGCACAGCCCCGTGGAATTGAAGACGGAAGCCCTCAGGCAGCGTCTGCAGCATTTGCGACGCCAACGGCAGGTCTGCTGCTCCATCCTGCTTTGTATACGAAGCCTTGAACAATGGGCCGTTCAATGACCAGTTCACCTGACCCACAACGTGCCACTTGTTGTCCACCAAAGCCATCGTCACTGTTTCGATACGGTGTCGCATGTTCTCGACCTCAACTTCCACCACAGTCACAGGCTTGGACTCTCCGAACGGGCCGTCGATACTGACAGACAACTGGGCTCCCAAGTTTTTGAGGTCGTTGCGTTCAGCCAGCGCAATCAGCTCCTTGGCGGACAAACCGGGTGTGACAGCTCGTAGACGAGGAACAACTCCCGCTTGGTCCGAGATAAACTCCAACTCGTCTTCATTAAGCAAGTCGAACGAACCGAAACCTTCAGCTGGCGTAAACTGGATACGGCCCGAGATCTGGCTGCTAGCACGTGTCTTCTTGAGGTGCATGATGGCTCCGACGACGCGTAGATCTTCCACTTCAAGCGCTGTCAGCTTCACCCCCTCAAAGCCGTCCGGATACTCTTCCTCGATGAATTTCGTAGTGATCTTGCCACTCACGAAGCGAGGATGACGATAAACATCCTGCAGGAAGGCCACGTTGTTGCCTGGCCCACGGATAACGTAGTTGTCCAGCGCCGTCTTCATGCGATCCAGACATTCCGGACGATCTTTACCGTACGTGATGAGTTTAGAGATCATGGGGTCGTAGAACATGGAGATGTCGCTGCCTTCATTCACTCCAGAGTCCACACGTACACCAGGAAGGTGGACAGGTTCCTCGTACTGCAACAGTCGTCCGATAGACGGTAGGAATCCACGTAGCGGGTCTTCAGCGTACACTCGACTCTCCATCGCCCAGCCGTGGATCTTGACAGGCCCCTTGACCAGCTCCTTGGGTAGTTCATGGCCGGCCGCCACGCGGATCATCTGTTCCACTAGATCCACCTTCGAAATCAGCTCCGTCACGGGATGCTCCACTTGTAGACGAGTGTTCATCTCTAAAAAGTAGAAATTCTTGTGTTTATCACACAGAAACTCAACTGTACCGGCACTCACGTAACCCACCTTCCTGGCCAGCATGGCGGCCTGCTTGCCCATGGCCAATCTCGTCTCTGGGTCGAGTAACACACTTGGAGCCTCTTCAACCACCTTCTGGTTACGACGTTGGATGGAGCACTCTCTCTCGGGCAACGCCACCACGTTGCCATGCGAGTCTGCGATTAATTGGATCTCAATGTGACGAGGGTCTTCGATAAACTTCTCCAGGAACATTCTGTCGTCTCCGAAGCTGCTGGCCGCCTCCTCCTTTGACAGACGGTAGCCCATGCGCACTTCCTCATCGTTGTAGGCGACGCGCATGCCTTTGCCGCCTCCGCCGGCACTGGCCTTGATCATAACCGGATAGCCGATCTCGTGGGCCACTTTGACCGCCTCATCGGGCGTGTCAATCTCCCCGAGAAAACCCGGGATCGTATTGACGCCTGCGTCCATGGCCAGCTGCTTGGACTCGATCTTGTCCCCCATGGCCTGGATGGCCTCGTGGCCAGGACCGATAAATGCTACTCCAATGGCCTCCAAGGCCTCACAGAAGTCTTTATTCTCCGATAGGAAGCCGTAGCCCGGGTGCACGGCCTGTGCGCCTGTGGCCTTGACGGCCTCCACGATCTTTGGGATGCTCAGGTAGCTCTGACTCGACGGCGCGGGCCCGACGCACACGGCCTCGTCGGCCATGCGCACAGCCACCGAGTTCACATCGGGCTCCGAGTACACGGCCACTGTTTTGATGCCCAGCTTTTTGCACGTCCGCATAACGCGCACGGCGATCTCGCCGCGGTTGGCTACGAGGATCTTATCGAAGAGTTTCTCCGCAGGAGCCGCGTGCAGCTTGCGCAGGGTCGCGGGTGGGCGACGCGCACCGGACAGCAGTTGACGTCGCAGTAAGCGAGCGGATAACATCCCAGAGTGATAGTCACGTACGCCTCGAGAGGCTGAAGTGCGAGTGCGCCGAATGCGGAATGAACTTCGACTGTGATCGCCTTTTGTTGGTGGTGGATTTGTAGCTTAGTAAAACCAAGTGTAATTGAACCCGAATAGTGGACCCTTTTGATTGAAGTTGAGTCGGCTGCAACTTTGGACTTGCGATGGGTGCACACGTTGTGCATCATAACGCAAGGTTTTGATGCGGCTAAATTGGCGGGGTATCGGCCCGCTCGGTGCTTGAGCTCTACGACATCGTCCAACTGGGGAGAAGCTATCTTCCAACACCTGGGAAAGCATCTTTTGTCAGCGCTGTCCAGGTCGGTAATTGTAAATGGATCTTGCGCGCCATTGCGAGTCTAAAGAAAGAGAGAGAGCAAGGAGAACGCGCGGCTGAAGCTGACGCAAATCAAAATTATTAGCAGCGTCGGAGATCTGCGCTTAACAAAAAGGCAACTTTAAGATATCAAATGTACCAGCACTGCTTAATATTTTAGTGGCACAACCATCGCGCTGCGTCAGCAGAGCGTGCGAGCAGAGCGCAGAAGCCAAGAACCTACCCCGGCCATTCGGTCACCTCGATGCCGATCTGCATAACCTCCGCTAGCTTCAGCTGAACGAGGCATTTCAAGTCTGTGCACTCAATTAGAATCTGCATGTGAATGGATATTGTGCAGCTGTTCTGCTTTCAAGTGGTGTTATACATTTTGTGCAGCTGGTTGCTCGCTGCGGGGGCTAGCTATCTAGGTGAGAGCGGATGGGCAGTGTCGATAAAGCGCAGCCGACCCATTCAGTTCTCCAGCACGACGCGGTAGCGCACAGTGCCGTTGCGCACCATTTGGATGCCCTCGTTCACCTTGCTCATGGGAAGTTTCTGGATCACAGGGCGTACGTTCTTCTTGGACGCCACATCCAGCATGTCCTTGATGTCCTGGATGCTGCCGATGGCGCTGCCCTTAAAATTGAGGCCCTTGCCTACGAGCGGGAACGGCTTGAACTTGATCTCATCATTGGGCAGACCCACCATGATCACAGTACCGTGCACCGCCAGAAAGCTCAGGAACAGCGTGTAGGGCATGTTGTTGGCGTCGGCTGTGATCAGTAGAATGTCAACCGACTTGGCTGCGTCTGCCGCCTGCTTCTCGTCTGTGTACACGACGAACTCATCTGCACCGAGACGACGGATCTCCTGCTCCTTACTGGCTGAACGGGAGAAGGCCACCACTGCAGCGGCACCCATAGCCTTGGCGAACTGGATGCCCAGGTGGCCTAATCCTCCAACGCCCACGATACCAACGCGGTCACCAGGTTTGATACCAACCTCCTTGAACGGGGTGAACACGGTGGTGCCGGCGCACAACAGCGGTGCGGCCACGTCCGACGGGATGTTGTCTGGGATCTTGAACGCGTACTCGTGCGTTACGCGAATGTAGTCTGCGTACCCGCCGTACGTGATTACGTCGTCCGTCTTGCGGTATTTCGAGTTGTACGTGCCCACGTGGTGGCGGCAGTAGGCGTCCTTGCCGTTGGCGCATTCCTTGCACGGATCGTCCGGGAACTTGTTGAGGCAGGCCCACACTTGCGCACCGATACCCACACGGTCACCCACCTTCATGTTCTTCACTTGGTCGCCGGTTCACCGACGATCTCATGGCCGACCACACACGGATACATGGTCTGACTTCAGCCGCTGTCCATGGTGTGTAGATCGGAGCCACGGATGCCACAGTGCGAGATCTTGATCTCCACGTCCTCAGGGCCAAGAGGACGCGACTGGTACTCCCATGGCTTGGCCTCCTCGCCCGTGGCGAATGTGGCGTACGCGCGCACGGTCCTCGGGGCAGTCGACATGGCTTGTGCTGCAGTTGATGCTGGTTTTGTGATTGACTTGTCAAGTGTCGATCAAAATCGGAAATGGAAAAAAGGTAGTCCGACTCGGAGTCCAAGCTAGTAGCACTGCTCTACCAGGGCAGGTATCCTGCGTGGCTGGGCTCACCGTCGCATAGGAAGCGGTGGGTTTGGCTGAACACAGCTTTGGTTGCCCTGTCATGCCATGATCGTCTCAGACGATCATGGCATAGACGATTCGTCTGCTTCAGCTTGGGTAACCAAATCGGTTTACAGATGGAGTAACCCCTTGTCTTACAAACACCAAGTCATTTACTTGGGACACTCTGGACCGGACGCCTCGAGAGTAAACCGGATGGTGGTTGACGCGCCCAAAACGAACGAGAGACAGGCTGATCGGACCGAATTTGGGCGTAGGGCTTGGGATCAGGATCACGGCCTCCGATTGTTTTCACAGAGGGCATCCATGCCCGATCTTGTAGAGTCTACGATGTAGACACCGCCAGCCACGGAAATGAGTGACACCACTGTCGGCTTCGGCTGTCGCAGCGCTAACAAGTCGAGGTCTGGCGAACGCTGCGAACACGGCTGCCCACGCGAATCGATACAACTTGGCTCTTCAATAGCATTCCAGTTGACATGTGAGTCGTTCGGTGGCTGCATTTGCCTGGCCCTGGACTGGTACTCAATAGCACAAACGCTATAGCAGAAAGAGCCCAAGTTGAGACAACGTCTTAAACTTTACCAGGCATCTACTAATATCGGTTAAATAGAATATCTTATTTCTCTTTTTTTTTCATAAAAGCACAAATTGCTACTTGTATTTTATTGCATGGGGAAACTATCATCACGTGCACGAATTCATCCTCCTCTCTAAGCTTACAGACCTAATTCTCGAGCACCACGCGGTAGCGCACCGTGCCCTTGCGCACCATGTCGATGCCCTCGTTCACCTTGGCCATCGGCAGCTTCTGGATCACCGGACGAACATTGTGCTTGGACGCCACCTCGAGCGTGTCCTTCATGTCCTGGATGCTGCCCACGTTGCTGCCCACAAACTTGGCGCCCTTCCCAACGACTTGGAACGCGTTGAACTTAATGTCATCGTTTGGAAGACCCACCATGATGCACGTGCCGCGCACGGACAGGAAGCTCAGGAACGTGCTGTACGGCATGTTGTTGGCATCGGCCGTAATCAGCAGGATGTCCACGGAGCCGACGGCCACATTCGCCTGCTTCTCGTCCGTGTACACCACGAACTCGTCGGCTCCCAGGCCACGCACCTCCTGCTCCTTGTTGTTGGAGCGCGAGAACGCCGTCACGGAGGCGGCACCCATAGCCTTGGCGAACTGGATGGCAATGTGGCCCAGGCCGCCAATGCCCACGATGCCGACACGGTCACCCTCCTTGATGCCGGCTTCCTTAAACGGCGTGAACACCGTCGTGCCGGCACACATCAGAGGAGCAGCCACGTCCGACGGAATGTTATCCGGGATCTTGATCGCAAACTCGTGCGGCACACGCACGTAGTCGGCGTATCCGCCGTACGTGAGAGCGCCGTCGCTTTTGTACTTGTCGTTGTATGTCCACACGCGGTGCGGGCAATACGCGTCGTCACCATTGGCGCACACGGAGCACGGAGCCTTGGGGTCCTTGTTCAGACACGCCGACACCAGCGCTCCGACACCCACACGGTCGCCGACCTGCAGGCCCTTGACGTCGGGACCAGCCTGCGTCACTTCGCCGACGATCTCGTGTCCCACCACGCACGGATACGTGGTCTGTCCCCAGCCGCTGTCAAGCGTGTGCAGGTCGGAGCCGCAGATGCCGCAGTGCGAGATCTTGATCTCGACGTCCTCGGCGCCGAGCGGGCGAGACTGGTACTCCCAGGATTTGATCTCTTCGCCCTTGCCGAAGGAGGCGTAGGCGTGCACGGTTCTCGGAGAGGTGGGCATATTGGTTGTTGTTGTAGTCGGTTGCTTGGAGTTGCTGGGTGGAGAGCAAAATGCAAAATGATTTCACACTGCTAGACGCACGTCTCGTTGAGGATCACTGTAACCAGTGGTGGTATACAGTATTAATTGTTCATGTAGTCTTGCTGCGCTACGTGTCATGAAATTATCGCAGCGCTCGGTGGGACAGCTACTCTATCGAGCACCGAAACATCTCGAACATTGCGTGAACTATAGAAATTCTGGCAGAATGGATGGTACAGCAAGCAAACCGCATGTCACAATACCGGTAAAATCATGGACAGACAATCCTCTCGGCTATGATAGATTCGGGGTGATCACAAACTAGAGCTATTACAATCCAGAGTGTACCAAATTGATTGTACAATTAGATCAAGCATGTAAGGTTTACTCGCACATGCATTATTGTAGGCTGCTTTGCCTATATAGTTTCTAAATCAGCCGATTTATACGTCGATTTATCAACCTGAAAATAGCAAAATTGGTTAGCATACTTAAAAAATAACCACAGCATACTTAGATGTATTCACGTAATAACGCCACCTATTTATAGTAGCAGCAAGCTTTACCCGTGCTGAGGGAGGAAAGCCCACTTCGACAGCGGCGTTCGTCCAAGCACTCAGTTATGCCGACCCCGGTCCGTTTAAGAGTCAAAATAGGATAAATCACAAAGTCCAGCAGAACAAAAGTGCAAGTGAGGGACCCCGTATTCTCCTTTGATAACGGAAGAGATAGCTACGATACTTTCTGCAGTAAGGTTAAAGCGAGAGCAGTAGAGAGTTTGCGAACTTACCCGAAAAAGACTATCAGGCCTGACATGAGCATCTACATTAAGCCAAGTCAGACTGCACGCCAACGAGATTGGGTTCCACTAACAGCAGACAATTTTGCGCCACTAGTTGCTTCAGCCTAAACTAACTACCAGAAGCGCACAAAGGACTCCGGTCCCTTTGAAATTGAAGTGTTTGTGCTCGCTGCGAATAAGGAGCGCCACACGCTCCCAGGGACGCGGCGTGTTACTGCATCGAGAATTCAAGAAGCTACAGCTAGTATCGATGAGTACTTGGCACAGAGGCCCGAGCTCCAAGTTGGAGAGATTACCAGAACCCACTGGTCGATCTCCCATGCCCGCCAGCCAGAGGGCTCTACCATTACACTGCCCGACACTGCTACTTTCGCTCAAGCTCAGCATCTCGACGCTATGCTGGCTGAAGAGGAGAGCGAGTACGACACAGTCAATGTACGGGTTAATGGGTCGCGAGAGATTCCGATCACATTCAGCATACAAGAGTTTCGCAGAGTTATGCAGTTGCCCAGCTACAACCTACTGGCAAGCGGAGTCTTTCCCTCTTTTGTGCCTCCACAGGAGCCAGACGAAGACGTCGAAGACCTTGACCACGTCAGTGATTAGCGCTCCATAACGTTTTCTAGGTGGAATCAATGCATTAAATCTGAATTTTGTCTCGCTACGCTCGATAAATTCTCGAAAATTTACTCCGTTTACAGGGAACGCGAGCTCGTTTTTATGAATGCTTTTGAGGAATATTTAAATGTCCTTAAGATGAGCATTTTGATCGGTTTTGACAATAGATGCTGTGTGCAAGCGTTAGGTAAGCCCATCTCTCCATGGCTATTCGATCTCGACACGAAGAGGGGTATTTTTAGCTGTCAAGCATGAGAAAACTCTTATAAGCGACAGAGCATTTGTTATGCGAGCGTTTTGCCTAAATTTATGCTCATTATAGCGATAGAGCCCTGCAGTCAGAAAGTCTGACATCATGGTCAACATGACTGAAACATTTGGTCAGCAATCAGCTTACAACAAAATTTAAAGGCTGGCGATACAGCCCGTGTTTTTTGAAGAGGGTTGGGTATCAAAACAATGGTAATCATGAATACATGTCCAGGTATCATCCATGTTTTCTCAAAAAAAAATAACGAACAACCTTACAGGATCTGTAATTTATTCGGTACATGCCTACCATGTTTTGAAACATGGCGAAACATATTGACAGCAAGGCGTGAAAAATCAAGAATGACTGCACTTTCAATCTGTCGGCTATACTTCGCACTCTTACCTGTCATGGGTTGAAACTACGTTTCGTAATGTTCGCATGACACGTCTACACCTCCAAGACGCTGAAAACATGCAGAACATGGAGCGAAACATGTATTGATCACTTGTTATCCTCGTCTTCCTTCTTGCAAGAGTCGCTGAACTTAACAACAGATCGTAGCGCATCCCAGCGACGGCGCAGCAACCCAGTCTCGGAGTAGTCGCTGCCAGCTTCCTTGTACACCCGACGCCAAAAGTACAGACAAACAAACAGCAGTCGTTGCTGTCAGTCTGGACAGGGATGTGGACAGCAACAATCTCGTACGGCTGCTTCATAACTCTCTGGTTGAGTTCCTGTGCCAGCTCCTCCAGTAAATTGTGGTAAGCGCGCTTGTCGAGACTATCGTAGCAGTATATAGTCTGCCGCGGTCGGTTGACAACAAGACATCCAATGGCTTCCATTGACATTCAACGGCATGAACAATCAGTCCTTGTTGGTGCCCGTCAGTAGACCTAATGTTCGCGGCCCAATGCGCTTGCCCTTGTCTGGCGCCGGTGTCTTCAATTATGGTAAATAGACCATGCGGTTGTTGTCGTACTTTACCTCCAGCGTTTTGGCAAAGGCTTGGATGTAGTTGTCATTATACCATCAAGCGTCCCCAGCACAATACAAGTGCGCCCGATTCAAGTGAAAACCTTCACCAAATCCTGAAAGGCGATTGGCAGGCCAGGTCCCAATTATCTGCTTTGCGACTGAAGCTGATACTTCGTCATTGATTAGTTCGTCCACCTTGCTCATCAACCATGAGTAGCACTTCAGTCTGTTTGTGCAATCTCTCATCATGTCACCCAAGTATTGCATTACCATGAGTTGCCGCTGCGTAAACTTGCCAACCCCTTCGATGTCCGCTAGCCAACACTCCTCACTTGGGTCCGAGGGTGTACTCACGTCCATGGCATCCCCGTACGGTGTCAGGCGATCGATGAGCTGTAACGCCTTCTTTACCAACTGTTCAGGCAGTCGATACGGAACGCAAGTTTCCGTGGGTACTTGTTTTATAACTTCAACCTTTTTTTTCCTTGCGCCCGTTGTGACGCGTCTCGAACGTGTTCAGGTACGACGCCGACTCCAGTAGCGATGGCCTACTAGTCTTCAGAAATTCCTCTACCCGAACAACATCATCACCGCGAAGTGCGTTTCTCAACTTTGCTCCTTGGTTGTACTCTTTGCGGTCTGCACTTCGTAAAGCATCTTGTGCTGGCAGCACAAGATGCTTTGGGCGACCTAATTTCGGAGTGCGAGGATTAAACGGCCTGACGACAGGCTTGGCAGTACTTTCAGTGTCAAACTGCTTCGAAGTAATTGACTGCACGAATGGCTTAGGCGCAGTAGCCGTTCGTTGGTCATCCGCACTACCAACTTCGCGAGCGTTCCTCATGTCGTCATTTTCTTTGCGCTCATTACTAAGACCTGAAGCAGCTCCCTGCGTTGGCGGAAGATCGATTTCTGAAACACTTGATCGCGTGACTGAAAAACAGACGTCATCCTGTCGCAAATTCCCCCACCATGTTTCCAAATGGTCCATTGCTGCTGTAAACTTTGCGTCGGGAAGGTCGGTTAGCTCCGACGTGAGCCTACTGAAGACATTCTGTACGCACTTGTACTTGTTGCGCTGAGTCATCTGCTTTTTCCGCACAGCATTGTCCACCTCAGTGTAGATTCGCAGTGGCGATTCGAATTCGGCTAGCTCCTCTTGCAGCGTGCCAAAACGAAGCCACCTTTCAATTCACAACATAGTTATTGCATGGAAAATACATACAACAAATATCGTTAGAAATCGATAAAATACATGCTAAAAACATGGATAAAACGTGGGTTTTACCTGTCCGGGATTGACGCGTAAGGAATTGTGAGAAGAGAAGCAACGTGTTTGCAACATATCAGGCCGTGGCGACAGGGTAGTTTCATGGTCGAAGAGAACTCACAAGTGCACATCCAATCAAACTTGTCCACGCGGTGAGACCTCCCGTCTCGCTTTAACGTAATGTGCAGCTCTTCGTCCTCGATAACATAACTGCTCACAGCGTCTGGGCTGATAGCAAAGGTGTACTCCGTCTTAAACACATCAGCCAACCACTCACTTGTCATCCCGAGCAGTTGATTCATCTCCTCGCTGTAGTTGATGCTTCGGGTGGTACCAGGCTTTACGATTCGGGAGACGTATTCGTCTTCTCTGCGGTGCTGGTAGCTTCCAAACACTGTTTCATCGACATCGAGCTATCCAAATCAACTTTGAGCTTTCCCAAAAGTTTTCCAGTCGGTTGTTCGTGTTATTTCGGAAGTGTGGCAAATCCATTCGGTAGCACATGACCCACATCTCCTTGCAGGCCATCCAGTTCTCGTCAAAGTATGCCCACAGCTCGTTACGCTCGCCCCGACATGACAGCAACTTGAATTCACCTGCGTTGTGTTGAAGCTCATCCTCTGATTTGGAGTAAACCATATTGGCAACACAGAAATCCATCTGCTTCAGCACACTACTCGAATAGGCTCCATACTTCTTGTCGTTGCGGATAGCACCACGCAGCCACTTGGTCACGTGAAATAGACTTAGCAAAATGCGCGCCTTCGGGAACATGTTTTTTAGCACCGCGATCTCATTCAGATCCTTGTCGACCATGATAACCATCGTCATTTTCTCCAATCATTCACCTCCTGGAAATGGTCTATAAGCTTTAGCAGGTGCCAATCGGCATTCCGCTCGATTACTGAAGGCTGAACAGCCTGGCCGTTTCCGAATAGATCCATTACCATAAATGCGCAAAGTTGGTATCTACGTGAGCAGCAAAGGAGCACCACCAAAAACATGGTTGTGCATGGTTAATACATGACAAAGAAACATGGTTTATAAATGGCTGAAACATGCTGTAAACATGTAGAAGAAGTGTACCTGTTCGATTTGTGGGTGCAATCTACAAGCAATAACTCTGGGAAACGCTTGTAGAGCCTGCGCATATGTTGCGTGCATATGGACACCACGGCAGTTTGACCTCGACTGTTGACTTCAACCATGGCCACGCTAGCTTCAGCACCCAAACTAAGCTCCACAAGCAGTTCTGCTACTTGGTATTCGTCGGACAGCGTACTACCTGCATAAAATACAACTTGGTTACTTTTTATATTGTATACATGATCTGAATTTACTACGAGCCTGACTTCTTTATATTCGCAATGAGGTTATACACGTCCTGCATCTGCATCTTGTGCGTCGAGTTGGTACGAATGTGGTCATACAGGCGGCTGGGCTTACTCCCACCTGCAACCATGAGCTCCACATCGCGCATGATCGGCAAACTGGCGGGTATCTTTCGAACCGTCGGATATCCGTCGTAAATGTCTTGCGACACAGGGTGATTGTGCCCATAAAAGCCAATTTTACTTCAACACACCACTCTCCACGTTCTTTCTCGTGAAGTTGTGCCACAAAGCGCACCTGGCACTCGGTGAAGTTGATTCTGTGAACAGGCCGTTTTCCTTTTGATCGAACACGGTTCTTCCATCCACGGGTACAGATGTACACACGCTTAAATGGATCCAAGGATTCGGGAACAAAGGGCAAGTCTGAGTCGCGTAACCCAGCAAACATCTTCATCTTCCTAATCTGGCGGTTGCGGAGTCGCACATTTAGCGTTTCAAAAACCGCCAGCACTGGCATCGTGTTCTGTTGGTATTAAAGCAGATACTCTTCAAACTTCTTCCAATTTTCATGATATTTTTTCAGGCCTTCGACGTAGAAAAGTTCGTCTTCACACTTCATTAGCGCGCGCTTACGTGATCGGGCGCTTGTCGAAGTCCCGGAGCCATCATTTTCACTAGGCGAACTCTCCTTGCTACCCGAAGAATAAACCTGTGCATATTCCTCTTTGTCCTCACAACTGCTTCCAGCGTGTTTCCGGTCAGATACTCATCACTGAGCCTGTCCGTGGCCTGGGCAGCAGGAACCACATCAGTGTCCCCATCACTGCTACTTGGCCCCTCTGTCTTCTGCTGCATGGCTAGCATAAGCGGAGCGGGTTTCTTTGTGCATGCCATGTTCTGAATAGATAATGACCTAAGCACAGATCATACATGGTTAGCATATGTTCAAAACATGCGTGAATCATGGAGCATTTTAACATCCATCTAGTTACGTTACACGTACGCGTCAGGAATTCAGGAGTTACAGTAAGCCCGTGGATGAGTTACACCGCCGAACGAAACCTGCATTTTCACGATAAAGATCAGCTTTTATACATTCTCCAACTTGCTAAGTGTTAGCAACATCTCGCGTCAAGACATGCTGACCAGCGCTACCTGCTCGGCACGAAGAGGAGCGGTGGGAGCTCGGGGCACTATGCGTGGCTCTGGACTCGTTCCGTACGGTGGTCTGCCCGATTGGGGAATCTGGAACTGACACGTGGCAAAAGCTCGTCAGTTCTGGGCGTTATACGGTATATCGCAGGGGAGAGAACGGCGCTACGCCGTCATAGAGGTACTTACCGGATGTACAGCAGGTCTGGATGTATAGCGGGGCTTCGTTTCGGTCGCTCCGAGCAGAGGAAAATGGCGCTTTAGCGCGTGCGCCGCGTGGCAGAATGAGTGGCTGGCTCGATCTGTAATTAAAAATTGGGCGGGAGAAATAAATTACAAACATGGCCACACATGGATACATAACAGTTTTAAACATGGTTATTGAAACATGGGCTGTACATTTTCCGACATTTAAACCGAACATTGAGTACGCAACACCGTTAAACTAATCCGGTAAGGGCTGTCCATACCTAAAGGTATTCCCAGAATTAATTGTACCGGTATCGCATTTTTTTTTCTTACCCGCAGACAACGAAATAATAAAAATTTAGCTGCCAATAAAAATCGATATACCGGAGCTGCGGTTTGCAGTACAGTTGTGCACCTCCAATTCGGCAGGGCGGACCATATCAGCAGTGCCAGGGCATAAGTGCACAACGTAAAGCAAAAAACAAACGCAAATCCAGTGCACTGATATTTGTTTTTGTTAATTCAGTACAAAACATACGCAGTACGGCAGTTGTATTAGGCGGGAGCTTGCGAAAACCACAGCCCTGTGCGCTGCTGGAAGCGGTACAGCAACCCTCGACTAGGTGCATTGCCTCCGAGTATCTGTACTCCTTCACGCTGAGCAATCATTAGTACCGTAGAGCCCTGAATATTTGCGTTTCCGTTTCAAGTCTTGAAATCGTCAATCTTCTGCATAATCTTGGCATCAGACGCGCGAATCGCGGGCGCGCGACGGCGCTTCCGGTCGCGATAGGCATCCGGCAAGGCGGCAACGTCCGCCGACCGCTTAAGAATACTATGGACGGTAGTGCGCTTTACTGCTTGGAGGTCTTAAAGCGCTCCGTTGCCCAACGAGCAAGTTCGGAGTGAGAGCATGCAGGATCTGACTTGTGCTTCTCGCACAAATACTGCTTTTGTGCTAGAGTTAGAGACATGTAGGAGGAAGGGCGATGTCCCATTGTCTTTGGCGGTAAAAATCAAAGTGTGTGTTTGTAAGAAGACGTCCGATCCACAATTTTAAATCAGATCGATGCGGCGTGTCATCCCTCCGCGAGCAGGGGAAAACCGTTGAGGTTAATTGCTAGGGTGGTGATGGGCAAAGGTAATTGCGCATCCGATTCGCGTAATCATAAAATCTGGCAGGGTATCGACTGATACCGGTGCCGTAATTGGAGGTGCACGACGTATATTGATTTTTTATCTTCTTTTTTAAAAAGAGTGGAGAGAATAGAGGAAACAATACCTCGACATATGACTACCGAGGGGATTGTCTGAATTGAAGAGCTGAAAACCGGTATTCAAGACTGGTTTGCCAACTAGGTAAGTAAAAAAAAAACTCTTTGCAAAGTTTTTAAGCTCGAATGCAAGTTTTTTTTAATTAAGGGGTCCAAGCTGCAGACTTATTCCTGACATGCGTTTATGCGCCACCGATGAGTTAGTCAACACCCGCACACGTGCCCGATGATCGGACCGATCCCCGTTCGAGCGGCCTCATTTTGCATTTTGCTCTCCACCCAGCAACTCCAAGCAACCGACTCACCTCTCCGAGAACCGTGCACGCCTACGCCTCCTTCGGCAAGGGCGAAGAGATCAAATCCTGGGAGTACCAGTCTCGCCCGCTCGGCGCCGAGGACGTCGAGATCAAGATCTCGCACTGCGGCATCTGCGGCTCCGACCTGCACACGCTTGACAGCGGCTGGGGACAGACCACGTATCCGTGCGTGGTGGGACACGAGATCGTCGGCGAAGTGACGCAGGCTGGTCCCGACGTCAAGGGCCTGCAGGTCGGCGACCGTGTGGGTGTCGGAGCGCTGGTGTCGGCGTGTCTGAACAAGGACCCAAAGGCTCCGTGCTCCGTGTGCGCCAATGGTGACGACGCGTATTGCCCGCACCGCGTGTGGACATACAACGACAAGTACAAAAGCGACGGCGCTCTCACGTACGGCGGATACGCCGACTACGTGCGTGTGCCGCACGAGTTTGCGATCAAGATCCCGGATAACATTCCGTCGGACGTGGCTGCTCCTCTGATGTGTGCCGGCACGACGGTGTTCACGCCGTTTAAGGAAGCCGGCATCAAGGAGGGTGACCGTGTCGGCATCGTGGGCATTGGCGGCCTGGGCCACATTGCCATCCAGTTCGCCAAGGCTATGGGTGCCGCCTCCGTGACGGCGTTCTCTCGCTCCAACAACAAGGAGCAGGAGGTGCGTGGCCTGGGAGCCGACGAGTTCGTGGTGTACACGGACGAGAAGCAGGCGAATGTGGCCGTCGGCTCCGTGGACATCCTGCTGATTACGGCCGATGCCAACAACATGCCGTACAGCACGTTCCTAAGCTTCCTGTCCGTGCGCGGCACGTGCATCATGGTGGGTCTTCCAAACGATGACATTAAGTTCAACGCGTTCCAAGTCGTTGGGAAGGGCGCCAAGTTTGTGGGCAGCAACGTGGGCAGCATCCAGGACATGAAGGACACGCTCGAGGTGGCGTCCAAGCACAATGTTCGTCCGGTGATCCAGAAGCTGCCGATGGCCAAGGTGAACGAGGGCATCGACATGGTGCGCAAGGGCACGGTGCGCTACCGCGTGGTGCTCGAGAATTAGGTCTGTAAGCTTAGAGAGGAGGATGCATTCGTGCACGTGATGATAGTTTCCCCATGCAATAAAATACAAGTAGCAATTTGTGCTTTTATGAAGAGAAAGAGAAATAAGATATTCTATTGAACCGATATTAGTAGATGCCTGGTAAAGTTTAAGACGTTGTCTCAACTTGGGCTCTTTCTGCTATAGCGTTTGTGCTATTGAGTACCAGTCCAGGGCCAGGCAAATGCAGCCACCGAACGACTCACATGTCAACTGGAATGTTATTGAAGAGCCAAGTTTTATCGATTCGCGTGGGCACCCGTGTTCGCAGCGTTTGCCAGACCTCGACTTGTTAGCCCGAAGCCGACAGTGGTGTCACTCATTTCCGTGGCTGGCGGTGTGTACATCGTAGACTCTACAAGATCGGGCATGGATGCCCTCTGTGTAAACAATCGGAGGCCGTGATCCTGATCCCAAGCCCTACGCCCAAATTCGGTCCGATCAGCCTGTCTCTCGTTCGTTTTGGGCGCGTCAACCACCATCTCGAGGCAGAGTGTCCCAAGTAAATGACTTGGTGTTTGTAAGACAAGGGGTTACTCCATCTGTAAACCGATTTGGTTACCCAAGCTGAAGCAGACGATCATGGCATGACAGGGCAACCAAAGCTGTGTTCAGCCAAACCCACCGCTTCCTATGCGACGGTGAGCCCAGCCACGCAGGATACCTGCCCTGGTAGAGCAGTGCTACTAGCTTGGACTCCGAGTCGGACTACCTTTTTTCCATTTCCGATTTTGATCGACACTTGACAAGTCAATCACAAAACCAGCGTCAACTGCAGCACAAGCCATGTCGACTGCCCCGAGGACCGTGCACGCGTACGCCACATTCGCCACGGGCGAGGAAGCCAAGCCATGGGAGTACCAGTCGCGTCCTCTTGGCCCTGAGGACGTGGAGATCAAGATCTCGCACTGTGGCATCTGTGGCTCCGATCTACACACCATGGACAGCGGCTGGAGTCAGACCATGTATCCGTGTGTGGTCGGCCATGAGATCGTCGGTGAAGTGACGCTGGGCCGGCGACCAAGTGAAGGGCATGAAGGTGGGTGACCGTGTGGGTGTCGGTGCGCAAGTGTGGGCCTGCCTCAACAAGTTCCCGGACGATCCGTGCAAGGAATGCGCCAACGGCAAGGACGCCTACTGCCGCCACCACGTGGGCACGTACAACTCGAAATACCGCAAGACGGACGACGCAATCACGTACGGCGGGTACGCAGACTACATTCGCGTCACGCACGAGTACGCGTTCAAGATCCCAGACAACATCCCGTCGGACGTGGCCGCACCGTTATTGTGCGCCGGCACCACCGTGTTCACTCCGTTCAAGGAGGTTGGTATCAAACCTGGTGACCGCGTTGGTATCGTGGGCGTTGGAGGGTTGGGCCACCTGGGCATCCAGTTCGCCAAGGCTATGGGTGCCGCTGCAGTGGTGGCCTTCTCCCGTTCAGCCAGTAAGGAGCAGGAGATCCGTCGTCTCGGTGCAGATGAGTTCGTCGTGTACACGGACGAGAAGCAGGCGGCGGACGCAGCCAAGTCGGTTGACATTCTACTGATCACAGCCGACGCCAACAACATGCCCTACACGCTGTTCCTGAGCTTTCTGGCGGTGCACGGTACTGTGATCATGGTGGGTCTGCCCAATGACGAGATCAAGTTCAAGCCGTTCCCGCTCGTAGCCAAGGGCCTCAATTTTAAGGGCAGCGCCATCGGCAGCATCCAGGACATCAAGGACATGCTGGATGTGGCGTCCAAGAAGAACGTACGCCCTGTGATTCAGAAACTTCCCATGAGCAAGGTGAACGAGGGCATCCAAATGGTGCGCAACGGCACTGTGCGCTACCGCGTCGTGCTGGAGAACTGAATGGGTCGGCTGCGCTTTATCGACACTGCCCATCCGCTCTCACCTAGATAGCTAGCCCCCGCAGCGAACAACCAGTTGCACAAAATGTATAACACCACTTGAAAGCAGAACAGCTGCACAATATCCATACACATGCAGACTCTAATTGATTGCACAGACTTGAAATGCCTCGTTCAGCTGAAGCTAGCGGAGGTTATGCAGATCGGCATCGAGGTGACTGAATGGCCGGGGTAGGTTCTTGGCTTCTGCGCTCTGCTCGCACGCTCTGCTGACGCAGCGCGATGGTTGTGCCACTAAAATATTAGGCTGTGCTGGTTCATTTGATATCTTGAAGTTGCCTTTTTGTTAAGCGGAGATCTCCGACGCTGCAAATTATTTTGATTTGCGTCAGCTTCAGCCGCGCGTTCTCCTTGCTCTCTTTTTCTTTAGACTCACAATGGTGGCAAGACCCACTTACTATTCGACAAAAAATGCTTTCCCAGCTGAATGCCTTCTCTTCTTCGTTGTGGAGTCTATCGATAAAAAAGCTACATGATTAGCTCGCTCTAGCTGTGAAGTAGTTCATATCATCGAAGAAACTGATTTTTTTTTAAGTCATGACATTGATCAAGTCTAACAACGTGCAAGCAAGTATGCGAGTGTAGAACAAGCAGTATTTATCGACTCCCATGGACTTGAGAAGGTTTCGCCAGTAATTATCGTAGAAGTAATTATAATCGCCTGAGACGCGGCCGTTCACCTCGTTCGCCCGTTTTACGAGCAACTTAACTAGATCGTCTGCGACTTACACTGGGAATACATATTTTTAAAAATATGTCGACATTTGCTGTCTCTGCCCTGCGACTGGGAGGTGATCCCAGACATTCTTCGACAAAAAAGGTTCGGAAAGCTAACATTAAGATGGCTAATTTTTTTTTGATACGGTTGTTAGCATAATTGTCAATAGCAAAGTAGAATTAAAGGCTGGGCAATGTATTTGGTATCAACCAAAACTGCCAACGCTTAGCTGGTTTTGCGTCTCTTCACGTCAGGTTCAAGCTTCATCGGAGGTCCCGTTGCGGTACTGAGCTTTTCGTTGACGCTTTGTTTCTTGCGCTGCAGTGGCCTGAATTGCATCAGGGTTTCCTGTACAAGATAACTCATCTTCAGCTGCATTGGCATATCGTCGTTTTGCCATGACTGTAAATTGCAGATTGCCGTTGATGTTGATTCCAACTGTATGGTCAATTTCCTTTATCGTTACGTACAGTTTGTCAAATCAAACAACAATTTGTTACTTTAACGGTAAGGGTCATTTTCCTTCATGTTTACGTAAAATCTTGAGCTAGATGTTGCTGGTACGTATATCCAACGGCGGCTGCACATGCATCTGCTCCAGTTAGCTCAGTGGATGGACGAAAAGATGCTAAAAAAACCAAAGACTTACATCGCTGCAGCCATCGCCGCCTGCGCTCTCACCGCCACCAACGTCGCCGCTGACGGAGCCACTGGCGCAGATTGACAAACCGAAAGAATAACGTTAGCATTAGCCCGCTCAAAAAAACATCATCCGCTTCTCCACTTCTTCTACTAACCAACTCAATAATAAAGACTTACATCGCTGCTGCCATCGCCGCCTGCGCTCTCACCGCCACCAACGTCGCCGCTGACGGAGCCACTGGCGCAGATTGACAAACCGAAAGAATAACGTTAGCATTAGCCCGCTCAAAAAACCATCATCTGCTTCTCCACTTCTTCTACTAACCACTTCAATAATAAAGACTTACATCGCTGCTGCCATCGCCGCCTGCGCTCTCACCGCCACCAACGTCGCCGCTGACGGAGCCACTGGCGCAGATTTACAAACCGAAAGAATCACGTTAGCATTAGCCCGCTCAAAAAACCATCATCTGCTTCTCCACTTCTTCTACTAACCAACTCAATAATAAAGACTTACATCGCTGCTGCCATTGCCGCCTGCGCTCTCACCGCCACCAACGTCGCCGCTGACGGAGCCACTGGCGCAGATTGACAAACCGAAAGAATAACGTCTTTTTGCTTTTTCCAGTCTAATCACATACTAAGTACGATATTTTGGATGTTGTCCGAACGTTGACCCATTTACGTTACGCTCACGCAATTAATCCTGTGTGGGCTGTCCATTACTCATTCTGAGGTATTCCCAGTATAATGTCATTGGGCTTCAATTCGGCGTCAAACCACTGTTTGAACTGCAGTGATCGTAAGCTAGAAATAGTTTCCGCCAGATTTTTACTCATCGTCGCGTCCTTTTGAGCATGACCAAACGACCTTCGTGCGACGGCGCTGCAGCAACGCTGCTGCGACAGCGGGCAACTTACTGGTTGTACGAGCAACAACGGGAAACGTGCAAGCAACATAAACATACCGCAGAAATCGGTAGATACCGGTAAACGAACATAAAACGCTGACGCTTTAGCTGTTGATGTACCGGTATATCGGCCCAGCTGCGATTGAGCCAATCAAAGCAATTGAGCTAATCAAATCAAAGATAGACGGCGATCATGACGGAGTAGGGGGGGGGGGGTGCTGGCTAGCGAAGGTCAAGTCGTGCAGAAGCTCGCGGGTCTGCAGCGGTGTGGTTTATGATGGCGTGGGTTAGCAGCGCGTCTAACGGTGTATGAGTACATCAGGCACATCGGCGATTACCGACGGCAGGCAGTCAGTAGAGAGCAGGACGCTGGGAAGCGAAGGCTAAACTGCAGAAGCTCGCGACTCAACAGCATTGCCACCATGGCATGGGTCAGAAACGCGTGGCCAGCATTATGGAGCGATGCGGTAGTAATGGTGGCTGGACGGTGTGTGTCTAACGACAACGGCATGCATTAACAAGCTGGACGCTGGCAATTGAAGGCCAAGCTGCCACGAGCAACGTCGTCACTTAGCAATGGTGAAATGTTGACGTGCAGAAGTGGTATTTTGTGCAGTTTGGCAGCAGCGAATCGGCAACGTGGGTGACTTGGTGCGGCTCGATAACAGCAAAGCTGACAAGTCGATGGGAAGACGTCGAGGGATAGCGTATACGTTGTGTATGCAACTGCCTCAACTAGGACACTGTGGTTCCGCTGCTCACTATTCCATGTTACATACATGTAGAAACAAGAAGGTTGGTGACGATTCGTTAAGATGGACAGCTTGAGTATTGAGTACTAACTCTTCATGATTTAAAGAACAGACGGAGTGAAGGCGGTATTATCCGGAAGGCCCGTTTCGGTTGTGGTGGTGGTCGCGTTAGCGGACAGCGATTGCTGAAACCTTTCCAAGGTAATGTTGCTGAGGCGGCAGAGCCGCTCTTCTTCGTTTAGTGCAGATGCAGGCGGCTTTGACCACGCGGCCAGGTCGTCGGTAAATGGCTTTAACGCGAGCAGTGCATGTCGTGATGTTACGCGGGAGACGAGCAGATAACTTTGCTGCGGTTTGTTGACGACGCTCTGTTTGGATTTCCAGTCCATAACAACCATCGAGTGGAGAGTCTCACCTTGAACTTTATAAACGGTGGAGCCGACGGCACAGACGAAGGGTAGCTGCTGTGGTTTGACCGTGATCGCTCGTGTGCGGCCGTCGGGCGCCTTTGGAAGCGTAATGGTCATTTTCTGGTACGCGTCAGTCGCGTAAAACACGGGAAACAAGCGCTTGCTTCTTCTTCTACGCAAACCTTCTTAATATTACCTGTCGCTCACATAACAAACGGTTGGGTTTACAGCTAGTTTGCTGCTCGCTCACGATAGATCAACTCATCGACTTCTCCCACGATCGTATGCCTCACTTTTTTTTCTCTACATTACGTGTCGCTTAGTGACAGCGGCACCACGGACACAAGGCTCATTCTTCCTTTTGCAATGCCGCCCAAGAAGCCGAACAAAACGCTGGTCGATGATCAGCGCTGCTGCCGCTGCAAACTTTTCAGCGC